CGGCCCGCCATCGCGCGCCTGCGCATAAAAGGCTTTCTTTTGTTTTGTAGGATCCGAGGCCCTGAAGCTACGCGGCCGCTCGCAATTTGGCCGCGCTGCGAATATGCCTTCCCCCCCCCGCCGCCGCTTAAGATTAAGAGATTTTTTTTCACATATTTAAAAAAGGGTGGTCTTGTATATATTACTAATTTATACATATATAGTTATGATATCTATTATTTCTTATTAAAGTAAGTGATAAATAAAATTAATACGAAGGCGATACTGGCGCAACCTTGGAAGCATAAAGTGATCCCATTCCCGGGGAATGACAAACAGTTTGGCCCCTGCAGCCAATCCCAGCGACAACGGGCAGCTGAGTACCTGATTCTAGAATTCCCATTCCGGCCAATAAACTCTTCTCAAGTGCAAAATACAGGGCATTTTATAATTCATCACAGTAAAGATGATCAATTTGATTTGACATTCTAAACAAAAAAATCAGTAAGTTTCAGAGTAGAAGTACTGGTACAGCTGTGCTCTTTTGAGAAGGGGTGCCTGACAGGCAGAATTTAAAGCAGGGGGCAGCCAGACTTTTTTTTTTTTAATTAAATTTTTATCCCCTCTCCCCGCCATGGCAGGCGAAGGGCAGCTTACAATATGTACCAATATATATTTAAGACTCCACAATATTAAAAACAGAATTCAATTAAAATGACTATATATAAAACCATAACTACTCCAAATATAACTACAATAGAGGATGGCAAACTTGCTTAACATAACAGCCACACAGAATAAACATCAGATGTTTGAGAACTGCCGGCCATAACTTTTTGGGGCTCCCTCTCCCGACCTTCGATGGGGCACCGTTGGTGCCAGCGTCGAAGGTTAGGAGTTTGGGTGTGCTCCTGGACTCCTCGTTAACGAGAGGCCCAGGTAGCAGCCACTGCCAAGTCGGCCTTTTACCATCTTCGGCTGGCGAGGCAGTTGGTCCCCTTCCTCGATCGCGATGACCTGGCCACAGTGATCCATGCGACGGTCACCTCGAGGCTAGACTACTGTAGCGCTCTCTACATGGGGCTGCCTCTGTCGCAAATTTGGAAGCTGCAAGTACTGCAGAATGCTGCAGCCAGGCTGTTGATGGGTCTCCCTAGATGGGATCACATCCGGCCTGTGCTGAAAGCGCTGCACTGGTTGCCAATGGCATACCGGATTCCCTTCAAAGTGCTAGTTCTTACCTTTAAAGCCCTATATGGCCAGGGTCCGGCCTACCTAAGGGACCGCCTTTCCCTGCATGTTCCCCCAAGGGCACTACGGTGGGGGAGCCAAAACCTCCTGGATATTCCAGGCCCCAAGTCCATCAAACATGCTGTGACCAGGGCCAGGGCATTTTCGGTGGCGGCTCCTACCTGGTGGAATGAGCTCCCAGAAGAGATCTGGGACCTTGTGCAGTTCCACAGAGCCTGTAAAACGGAGCTCTTTTGCCAGGCTTTCCAGTTATTCCATTATTCCACCAACATTCTTTCCATCACCGCACTCTACCACCACTGGTGTAGGTATCATGGGGGGGGGGGGGCAAGACGTCCCTGGCAGAT